ACACACATTGCACTACATGGTGCAGGAAAATTGTCCAGAACAGTTAAAAAAAAGATTTTATCTTCAATGATGCTGTACACTGCCTGCAACACTACGAGTGCTGCTGCAGCACTCAGACAGAAGCACAGATTTTTTTTTCTACTTTTTTCTAGAGTTAAAAAAAAACAAAAAAAATGGCACACCGGCAGGGTTCATTGTTGCAGTAAACTGCCACACACTGTATTTTAAATCATTGAATCAAAGTGTGTGTAAGTGGCACTGACATTGACTAGGCATAGTAGTAACTTAACTATGTCACCAGCTTAATACTAGGATCAATGGCACTCATGCACAACAATGGGGAAACACAATCACTGCTGGTCTTTCTCCTTCCAATCGCCCAAAATTCAGTCGAATCATGATTCATTTTAGACCAAATGCACAAGTCTATTGGTTTCGGCCAGATGTTCTTGACTTGTAATTTCACTATAGACTTGTAAAAGTCATGAGATCATGTAGTATTTGCAGGTTGGGAGGAAGGAGTAGACATTATTAGGTCATGGAGCAAAATTATTTTATGTTATACTCAAGAAGTTTAATATAAAAAAAAGAAAAGTATAGCTAACCTTTACCAAGTGTCAGGGTACCTGTTGGTGCTGAATCCAGGGAAGACATCCTCTCTGTTTAGGGGCTCCCTGCCCCTAGCATTTTCGGCATATTCCGGCCGTTTTCGCGCCGGCCGCGCTAGCTCCTCCCCCTTTTATGACGCGACGGCTAGCGTCGACGTCATGACGTCGGCATTTGCATAAAGTGCCGGGAACCGCTATTCCGGACCTTTTGGGGGCGTGGTCTCTATTTAGGTACAGGGTATTTAAAGGAAACCTTTACTACTGCTCATTGCCCTGTCGTGGTTCTAGCTTGCTAGTCACTCAGCGCGTTCTTTATCTTGTGTTTCCGGTTTTGACCCTTGCTTGTCTTTTGTCCTGTTGTCCTCTCCTCTCCTTTGACTCGGCTTGTATCTCGCTTACCTGTCCTCCGGCTCCCTCGACCTCGGCTTACCTTTTGACTATTCTTGCTTTGTCCCTACGTTAGTCCGGCCATTCTAAGGTCCGGTATACGTACCTCCTTCTGTCCGCACTCTGCGTATTGGATCCCTGTCAGTATCCTGACATTACGACAGGGCCATGATGGATCCTGCAGGTGCTAGTCCTCCTGACCCCAGATTTGAGGCCATGGACCATAGAATGGACCAAATGGCTTTAGCATTACAAACTTTGTTAACACGCTCCAGTACCCAGTCTGAAGAAATACGTTCCACTGCCAGCCACTCGCTAAGTACTGGTTTGGAAGTAGCCACTGTAGGCGCATCTTCCCATGTCACTTCACCATTACGATATGGGGGTTCGCCTGATGCTTGTCGTGGTTTTTTAAACCAGATAAGCATACATTTCGAACTTCAACCCCGGGCTTACCCCACTGACAGGGCTAAGGTAGGCTTTATTATAACCCTGCTAATAGATAAAGCACTTAGATGGGCCAATCCCCTTTGGGAGAATGACAATCCTTTAGTCTACAACTACACTGCTTTTGTCACGGCTTTTAGAAGAACCTTTGACCCCCCAGGAAGGAAGATTAATGCGGCCAGATCCCTGTTACGCCTTAAACAACAGAATAGGACCCTTGTAGAATATGCTCTAGAGTTTAGATCATTGGCAGCAGAAGTGAAATGGAACGAACAAGCTTTTATGGATGTATTCTTGAATGGGTTGTCTGATGAAATTCTAGATGAAATTGCCACAAGAGAACTTCCGGAAAATTTAGAGGATTTAGTATCCTTCATTTCCAGAATAGATGAACGCATGAGACAGAGGCAGAACACTCGGGAAAGAGTTACTAGACTTCCTGTAAGACTCGCTCCCTCATTTCAGAACCCTGACTCCTATAATCCTACTCCACCAGAACCTATGCAAATAGGTAATACTCGCTTATCTGAGGCTGAGAGACAGTACAGAAGAAGGGAGGGTCTCTGTTTATACTGCGGGCGGAGAGGTCACCTACGTCTTAGTTGCCCTAATCGTCCGGGAAACGCTCGCACCTAAGTTCCCTTAGAGGACGGGCCTTGGGTGTTTCATTACTGTCCTCTATGCATAATAAAAAAGACCATAGGCTTCTGATTCCTGTCTCTCTAGCTTGGGAAAAGGGGTTTATTTCTACGATGGCATTATTAGATTCTGGAGCAGCAGAAAGCTTTATAGACCAAACTTTCGCTAATAAGCATTGTATCCCATTCCAATTGAGAGATACACCCTTGGCCGTTGAGGCCATAGATGGTAGACCTTTATCTGAACCAGTAATATTCCATGAGACCGAACCCGTTAAGCTTACTGTTGGTATTTTCCACGAGGAGTTGATTTCCCTTCTGTTAATTTCCTCCCCGGCAGTCCCAGTAGTACTAGGATATTCTTGGCTCAAGAGACACAACCCTCAGATTGACTGGGAGGGTGGAGAAATCGTTTCTTGGGGTATGGGTTGTAGGAAAGCATGTCTGCAGAGAGTTACTTCTGTTTGCCCCGTAAACTCTTATGCTAACACTTCTCAATCCACTGACGTTCAGATACCACTACAATATCTAGACCTCAAATCTGTATTTGACAAGGGTAAGGCGGATACTTTACCTCCCCACCGGTCTTATGACTGTTCTATTAAACTTTTCCCTGGTACTATGCCTCCCAGGGGTACGGTATACCCTCTATCCACCAAGGAAAACTTAGTTTTAGAGGAATACATCAAGGAGAATTTAGACAAAGGATTTATCAGAAAGTCTTCTTCTCCGGCGGGGGCAGGTTTCTTTTTTGTAGAAAAGAAAGACGGTACCTTACGTCCTTGTATAGACTATCGGGGATTGAACAAAATTACTATCAGGAATGCTTACCCTATTCCTTTGATTACTGAACTCTTTGACAGACTAAAGGGCTCGAGTATTTTTACCAAACTTGACTTGAGAGGAGCATATAACTTAGTGCGAATTAAACAAGGAGATGAATGGATGACAGCATTTAATACCCGTTACGGGCATTATGAGTATACCGTAATGCCGTTTGGGCTTTGTAACGCCCCGGCCGTCTTCCAAGACTTAATCAATGAAGTTCTTAGAGAATTCCAACATGAATGTGTAATTGTATATTTGGATGATATACTAATCCATTCTAGAGACATTAATTCACATCATAGACAAGTCAGAAAGGTATTACAGAAACTTTTACAACATGGATTGTATTGTAAATTGGAAAAATGTAGCTTTGACCAGTCTCAGGTAACTTTCTTAGGTTACGTAATTTCCAAAGACGGGTTTATGATGGACCCGACCAAACTAAAATCGATTTTAGATTGGCCTTTACCTAAGGGACTCAAAGCCATACAAAGATTTCTTGGATTTTCTAATTATTACAGACGTTTTATTAAAGGGTACTCCTCTGTTATCGCTCCTATCACTAATATGACCAAACAAGGAGCCGATACCAAAACCTGGTCTACTGAGGCTTTATCTGCTTTCGAAACGCTCAAACAGTCTTTTGCCTCAGCACCTGTATTAGTTCATCCTGATACCTCTCTACCCTTTTTACTTGAAGTTGATGCGTCTGAAACAGGGATAGGCGCAGTGTTGTCCCAAAGACAAAGTTTAGATAAGCCGCTGCACCCTTGCGGTTTTTTTTCCAAGAAACTATCACACACTGAAAGGAGATATGACATTGGTGATAGAGAACTTTTAGCTATCATTATGGCATTAAAGGAATGGAGACATTTGTTAGAGGGCACTGTCCTCCCAGTTACCATCTTGACTGACCACAAAAATTTATCGTATATGGGGGAGGCCAAAAGATTATCTGCCAGGCAGGCACGTTGGTCTATGTTCCTTACACACTTTAATTATATGCTTACTTACAGGCCTGGTTCTAAGAACACTAAGGCTGACGCTTTGTCACGTCAGCACGAACCTATCACCTCTACAGAGGACACTTTGTTCCCTATTATTCCTGAAGTCAATATTATCGCCAACACCAATGTCAAAATACACTCTCCATTGCTCGCTGATATTATGAACGAACAATCTCTTGCTCCCGAACGTACTCCTGTGGGCCGCTTGTTCGTGTCTCCCAAATTCCAAGTGGACATTATTCGCTGTTTTCACGATAGCAAGTTCGCTGGTCACCCCGGCATCCACAAAACTTACTGCCTGATCTCCAAAGACTTCTGGTGGCCCGGTTTACGTAGGGATGTGGAAGACTTTGTCAAGGCTTGCAATGTTTGTGTCAGGAATAAACTTCCGCGGGATCTCCCTTGTGGTTTATTGCAGCCCTTAGTCGTTCCCAACAAACCTTGGGCTTGTTTGGCTATGGATTTTATTGTTGATCTACCAGCTTCCAGTAGGCATACGGTTATCCTCACGGTCCTTGACAGGTTTACTAAAATGGCTCATTTCATTCCCTTGCCTAAACTTCCGTCCTCTCCTGAACTGGCCGTGATATTTGCTAGAGAAATTTTCCGTTTACATGGTATTCCCAATGAGATTGTGTCAGACAGGGGTTCCCAATTTATTTCCCGTTTTTGGAGATCCTTCTGTTCCCAGTTGGGCATCAAACTGAATTTTTCTTCGGCCTATCATCCTCAATCTAACGGAGCAGCCGAACGCACTAACCAAAAAATTGAGCAATATCTACGTTGTTTTGTTTCTGAACACCAGGATGACTGGGTCGGTCTGATTCCTTGGGCGGAGTTTGCTCACAACAACCTTGTTTGTGGTTCCACTCGTAATAGCCCCTTTTTCTTGAACTATGGCTTTAACCCTACTGTTCTTCCGTCGGTGTCTCCTTCCCAGGGTATACCGTCGGTTGATATTCATATAGCCAACCTGAGAAAGTTGTGGGATCAGACTCGACAAATTCTTGAACGTAGTTCCGCGGTGTTTAAGTCACATGCTGATAGGCGTAGGCGGCCTGCTCCTATTTTTTCTCCGGGTGATAGGGTCTGGTTGTGTACCAGACACATTCGCCTGAAAGTCCCTTCCTTGAAGTTTGCTCCTCGTTACATTGGTCCTTACAGGGTGCTGAGGAGGATCAACCCGGTTTCTTATTTGCTGGATCTACCTCCTACTCTACACATCCCTAACTCTTTTCATGTGTCTTTATTGAAACCTCTTGTTTGTAACAGATTTTCCTCCCACTCTGCTCCTCCATCCTCGGTCCGTGTGGATGGTCAGGAGGAATATATCATCAAGTCCATCCTTGATTCTCGTATTTCTAGGGGGAAGCTGCAATACCTCATTGACTGGAAAGGTTATGGTCCAGAAGAGAGGTCTTGGGTTCCTGGTATAGACGTGCATGCCCCTCGTCTTCTTCGGGCATTCCACGTTCATTTTCCTTCTAAGCCCGGTCCCATCCGCCCGGTGGGCGTTTCTAGAAGGGGGGGTACTGTCAGGGTACCTGTTGGTGCTGAATCCAGGGAAGACATCCTCTCTGTTTAGGGGCTCCCTGCCCCTAGCATTTCGGCATATTCCGGCCGTTTTCGCGCCGGCCGCGCTAGCTCCTCCCCCTTTTATGACGCGACGGCTAGCGTCGACGTCATGACGTCGGCATTTGCATAAAGTGCCGGGAACCGCTATTCCGGACCTTTTGGGGGCGTGGTCTCTATTTAGGTACAGGGTATTTAAAGGAAACCTTTACTACTGCTCATTGCCCTGTCGTGGTTCTAGCTTGCTAGTCACTCAGCGCGTTCTTTATCTTGTGTTTCCGGTTTTGACCCTTGCTTGTCTTTTGTCCTGTTGTCCTCTCCTCTCCTTTGACTCGGCTTGTATCTCGCTTACCTGTCCTCCGGCTCCCTCGACCTCGGCTTACCTTTTGACTATTCTGCTTTGTCCCTACGTTAGTCCGGCCATTCTAAGGTCCGGTATACGTACCTCCTTCTGTCCGCACTCTGCGTATTGGATCCCTGTCAGTATCCTGACACCAAGACTCCACTAAGGATTCTAAAATTTTACAAAGGCCAATTGTAAAGGAAATTCATAATTCTGGCAAAAATGGTGAATAATATGCCTTTCTGAATATGACTGAGCCTGTGTTATATTGTCTTTGTGACATTTTCAGTTGAAAGAAGAAAAAACCTAGAGGTATTCCTATGGTATTTGGCACCCAGAACAGATTCTTTTGTTGCCTGCCATGTCAGAATGTATAATGTAAATATATAGAACATATTATATATGAAAGTTATAAGCAATTGGAAATAAGACAAATGCAGGATGATAGCTATTTAGTGAACAGACAATACAGCATTTTATTTTATAAAATGAAAATATGAGAAATTTTCTACAAAAATATGTACTTTATGCTTCTCTGTGACTCAATATTTCTCCCATAATGTGTCCCCTTCACCTTGCCCATATGCCTTTATGGCTTTGAGGGCCATCCCTGATGATACAATGCAGGGAGTTATAGATCCAGGAGTTTCAGGCCAGGATATCACTGCTTCTGTTACATTATTAAGAATATGGTCATCAAGATGGTGGTTTCCATGATATGAAATACTATTTAGGAGGGCTCCATTTTTAGGATACAGAGAACACAATTGGCAAACACAAAGATCTGAGAATTCAAGCCATCATATGCTTTACAGCTCCCTAGCAGTCAGCTCAGCAATGCACCGTGAATAGGTCTGCCATCCTAATGCATACCTCTCAAAATTTCAGGTAGACAAAGGGGGCATTTTAATTTCAGGGGTGTGAGTGGGGTGTGTGGCCAGGGTAGGGGTGCACTGAGAAATTTTAGTTGACTTACTAATAACAATTTATACAACTAAAATGTTATTTAGAACAGGAACAATGTATCTTATTTACACAGACTAAATTCTAAACATGTTTATTGTACTTTAAAGATTAATTACTAGGAGTATTATTGCTGTGAAGCTCTGTTATACACGTAGACACATCAACAATATGTAGCTTCTAGAAAAGAGAGACATTAGGATAGAAAAAGAGGGAAAGATAGATTTGGTCCCAAAATATGGACTGTTCCTCATTGTAGGTGAGATCCTAGGGTACCAATTAACTGAGCCCCTGAGCCTGGGTCTTTGGGTAATCTAGATCTCGAGATTGCATATTTTATGAAGTTCCTAGCTGACCACACGCACATAAAATGTTGTGAGTTCCATGTCCAGTATTCACGCTATGCAAAATGTTACCAGACTGCATCTACATTAAATTTTTAACTGTTCTGTCTATATTGTTTTACGAAACTGGATATGTGTCTGTGTCAATTAACTTTTTAATTCAAAGATTATAACAGTTCATTTTTCTTTAACTTGCAATAATCTTTCTGATATAAATATTTTATAAACTGTGGTTGCCCCGTTGGAAAATATATTCTAAACTATGGAACCAGAGAATGTGTTACTTATAATTACACAAGAAAAGCAGAATCATTTTGCAACATATTATCATTTATCTGTGACAATAGACATTGAAAAAAAAACTACTATTGACTATGGGAAGAAAAATCATGAACAGGAAACATAGATTGCAAAAAAGGAAATAAAATCACAACTGCTGCATACAACAGGGTGCAGTAAAGGCAGTGGATCAAAATATATTACATAAATAGAAATAAAAGTAAACATATTGATGTCACATCATTTCTGTGTCTGCACTCAACATGTCTTTAAAGACCAGAGTAGCACCTGTCATTCTTTTGAAGATGTCTTTAATGTCGTCACACGTTGTCTCAAAGTGAGTTGTAGCATCATATGATCGTGAGATAAAAATCTGCAGAAAAAAGAACCAAAGGAGAGAGGATAAGTTACGTTAAAATTGGAATGATGGAAAATAAAACAATACAAAGGTCCCAAAAACGACTTTCAAAAATATTTCAGTAGGCTCCATATATTTATATTATATTTTTCAGAAGTGCTTCTGAGCTCCCCAATTTACATTTCCTTACTCTCTGTGACAATAGGGCATATATGGAACTGGCTCAGAGGACACTTCAACAGAGCTCAAGTTTTTTGGAAGACCTTAATAAGTTGACCTTTTTAAAATTGTGTCTGTATTCTATGACTCATTCACTTCTTCTACAGCATCTGATATAGAAGACCTCAAAATGTGATCTCCACATGGGACCCAAGTTGTAGTCCTGGACCAGATTTTTATTTTTCTTTACATTCTTTATTTTTTCCATTCCACATTAAAGTAAGACACATATCAGCAATATGATGCTAAAGCACAAAAATGTTACACATTTGGACATCACATACAGCAAGTGGGAAATACATGCAGAATTTTTTTTTGTAAGTAAAAATACAAATCCAGCCAATTTCAGCTTGTGCAAGTGGGTTTCCAGCTCAGGTAGGTTGCATGCTCTATATATAGCTCCTAAACATATGAACAAAAGTACCTTCGGTGTTCCCCACTGGTACACCTAGCTGCTGCAGGAGATTTGTAAAGCTTTTCGCCAAGTGAGAGTGCTTCTCGTGAGGAAAACTTATTGCTTCTCGTGAAGTCAGGAAACAAAGATATGATGGTACCATCAAAGTGAAGTGGAGTTTTCCCATGGGCTGCTGCGAGAACTCAATTTTTATCCTGGAGAGATTGAAAGTGAATAATGAGATGTACAGTTGCCGTCAGGGTGCAGACACCGGTTTCGTTGTGCGGAACATACCATGCAATTTCATTATTCTTGCTAGCTTAGGCAGTAGCAGTATTGTAAATAGGCACCTTATGAGGTGCGGTAGATCACTCAGGCTCACAAACTCTGGTACACTGCGAATTTCGAGGTTGTATTTCTATCTGTATTCCTCCAGTGCATCCACTCTTTCCACAGTGATGGTTTGTTGTTGCTGTGGATCTTCCACTCTCTGCTCGACTGCAGTGAATCTAGTGTAGTTTTTGCACGTTGAGGCCTCCAGTAGTGTGATCCTGGTTGTGGCCACCTCCATGGCGTCTTTAAAATAAGCCATGCATGTGGCTATGTTCTTCCGCAATTCTGCTAGCATACTCTTAAGCTGATCTGCTGTCGCCAGCTCACCGGCAGCAGGTGTTTGGGGTGTATACCCAGGGTTAAGGCTCAGCAAAGTCCCCGCACCAGGATCATAGGAGAGGTCCTCCAAAGAGTAAGAAGAACCTTCGTCTTCCAGTACCATTTTCTCCTATTCCGTTCTTTGGTAGTTCTACAAGAGCTCTCCAATATGGCCTTTGGCTTTTTTTCTTCCTGCCCACTGTGTTCCCCGGTAAGAATAAAAGATTTACAGACAGACGTGCGGTTAATTTCCACCAATATTCTGCTTTGTTGTTTGTAAAAGGCTCAGGAGCTCATAATAGTGCGGCTACTCCAGATCGCTGCTAGAAAGAGGCAGGTGCAGAAACCCAATTTTCAAGTTTCTAAAACATCTCTATTTGTATAAAACCTAGCAGTGAGCACTTACCCTTTCAATGATTATTAGAGCATTAAAATTAACCTAAATAAATAACAATAATAATATTAATAAAAAGGTTGCCAAGTAATATTTCTTGAACAGGTCGTTAGAGGCTTGGGTAAATGTGGTAGCCATACACTCAAGAAACATCACTACATTACCAGATGCACATATTATCTTACCAGAGTGATGGATACAGTGGGACACAAGTTACTGTTACAAATCACCTTCCTTCTGGCCCTAATGATACTCTCAACAAATTAGTCTCTCACTTATTTTAATGTTTGCTCCTTTCTGGGATTTATATTCTCACCTGGTTCTTGATCCCATCATGCTTTGGGATGTACTGATCTGCTATCGTGACAAATCTGTGGTAATTTAAAAAAACAGTATATATATTAAATATGTGCAGAAAAAACAATCCTAGTCAAAACAAACACAAAGAAATGGGGAAAATGCCTGCTTGACATATTACACATAACTAGTTACCAAATAACTTACATTAGAATCAAATTATGTCCTTTTACTACATTGCACACGATAGTACATAATAAGATTTACTATAATACATTTTTAGTTTGTGGTCAGATTCAAAACACAAAACTATGGAACTTCAAGATTTTTCTAGTTGGCACATTTCTTTTGACACATAATTATAATTGCCAATACATGTTACCAGTCTGTAAAAGTATTTTTATTGTAAATAAAGCACTCTATATTTGTCCTAAAATCATATTTTCAGTTACATCAGTGGATCAGTAGGTCATTAAAGGACCACTATAGTGCCAGGAAAACATACTCGTTTTCCTGGCACTATAGTGCCCTGAGGGTGCCCCCACCCTCAGGGTCCCCCTCCCGCTGGGCTCTGGGGAGAGGAACGGGTTAAAATCTTACCTTTCTCCAGCGCCGGGCGGGGAGCTCTCCTCCTCCTCTCCGCCTCTTCTCCTCCTCTTCGGCTGAATGCGTATGCGTGGCAGGAGTTGCGCGTGTATTCAGCCAGTCTCATAGGAAAGCATTCATAATGCTTTCGTATGGACACTTGCGTCTTCTCACTATGATTTTCACAGTGAGAAGCACGCAAGCGCCTCTAGCGGCTGTCAAGAGACAGCCACTGGAGGCTGGATTAACCTTTTTTATAAACATGTTTAGAAAAAAATGGGTTAAAGGACCACTATAGTGCCAGGAAAACACACTCGTTTTCCTGGCACTATAGTGCCCTGAGGGTGCCCCCACCCTCAGGGTCCCCCTCCCGCCCAGCTCTGGGGAGAGGAAAGGGGTTAAAACTTACCTTATTCCAGCGCTGGGCGGGGAGCTCTTCTCCTCCGATCCTTATCCTCTCCTCCCATTCGGCTGAATGCGCATGCGCGGCAAGAGATGCGCGCGCATTCAGCTGGTCTCATAGGAAAGCATTTACAATGCTTTCCTATGGACGCTTGCGTGTTCTTACTGTGATTTTCAATGAGACAGCCACTAGAGGCTTTGAGGGCTGGATTAACCCATTTATAAACATAGCAGTTTCTCTGAAACTGCTATGTTTATAAAAAAATGGGTTAACCCTAGCTGGACCTGGCACCCAGACCACTTCATTATGCTGAAGTGGTCTGGGTGTCTAGAGTGGTCCTTTAAGTCACATTAAATAATCTACCCCCTGGTCACACATTACACTACACCCCTACAATAACAGCATGACTCTCTGTGTTCATTTGAAATGTTAGGAGATATGCCTTGTGTAGAATTTAGCAGTCAGAATTGGCCGTACATTCAGGTACTCCTAAGACTAGTTAAGATGTCACCATGTTGAATGACACAATCCTACTTACTTTTGATCAATAGGCTCCAGTAATTTGATGGCTGGCTGGATCTCTTTCTCAGGGTTCTCTGTTTCCACAGTGGTGCTAATTATAGCAATGTATTTTCCATCCGATGCCACACAGTGCGAGCAAGATACCATGCAGACGTAGATATCTGAGCGGACGAAAAGGATACAACTGATTGCTATGAAAATGGCTACCATTAAAAATATAATTTAAAGGAATCCTCTAATGAAGAAAAATGTATATACATATGGCATATGGCACATATGTGGCAGTTGCCATGAATCACCAATTTAAAGCAACTCCATGAGAAGTGTTGAAGCAAATGCTTCTCACAGAGAAGCATTTAATGCACACCATGTCCAATGTCTGCATAATTTCTCAAATAGATTCAATAGCTGGATCTATTTCAGTCTGAAGTTTACACTGTTTAGTGCAACAGGCTAAGTGCACTGATTAGCAAAAAAGAGAGATAACTTAACCCAAGAGAGATTCCAAAAACTCAGAGGGTCTGTCTTAGAGCTGTGTGATTTTTACAAATAGTTGTAGTTCTAAGCTATGGTGGTCTACGCAACATCAAGTTTGCTATTATGTACTTAAAATTACTCTTTAAATCTTAACTTGAGTAGCCTATCAAATGGAAACAACAGTCCATTCTGTTCTGCTCTGAATTTGAAAAGCAGGAATCTCTAAATATTGCTTGCAGATTCACCAAATCCACGATACCTATCAAATATGGAATATATTGAAGTTATTAACTGGCAAATTTTAGATGACAACATTTCGCTTCTACCATGTCCTGTCTCTAATGCACTTCTTGTTAAACATAATATAATAAATAAAGATTGTCAAAAAATTTTTTAATATATTAGTTGAGCAGTGCATAATGCTAACATACTTTTTTTTCCCAATCATTTTTTATTAATCAAGATAGTATTAGTGGATATAACATTTCATGAGAATAACATGTTCAAATATAACACACTTTTTAACACAAATCTTGTTAATATGTCTTGAAATTTCAAAAATGACACATGCAACTCTTTCTGGTTCTGAGTATGAGTATACAGTGAGGGAAAACAAGTATTTGATCCTCTGCTGATTTTGAATGTTTGCCCACTGACAAAGAAATGATCAGTCTATCATTTTAATGGTAGGTGTATTTTTTTTTTTTATTCTTTATTTTTTCCGTGCTTACTAGATAACAAACATTCTGGTAGCGCCACAACAGCGAGTACCAGTCGTAAAATCAAAACATCATAAACAAGTTCATGGCAATCAGGTTCAGCAATAATATTTTTATTTTTTTAAGAAAGGCTTGGTAATTAGTTTAAGTGTCAATAGAGTGCTCCGTTATGTTGCTGGCATTAAAACGGCTGCCAAAGCGGCAATGGTAATGTCTTCGTGTCTCGGCCATCTGTTCACAGTTATGCAGTGTTGTGTGTGGGGCTGGCCAACTTGTGTACATGCGATGTTTGAGTACGGTCAGGTACATATTTGGGGCAAGGCATAGATTTACTGGGATGTGATCCCACCTGACTTGTGCGTCCGTGTGTCAGTTGTGTTAGTGCAGGGGATGCGGATGTGTGTAGCATAGCTTTTGTTGCCTCCCATGTGTAAGTCGTAAGGTGGTCTAGTCGGTGAGGCTCCGGAGGGGGGGGATGCGCGGCATAGCTGCCCTGTCTACAGCGTCAATTCAGCAGGAGTGTGTAGTGTTAAGAAGGCATCGTATTGGAAGAAAGCCAAGTTTAACTAAGACCGTGCATTAAACAATAAACATAGTCCTATTAGAGAGGGCTGGTTAAGATGTTGCTTCAGGTTTTTGCTGCTGCGGTTAGGTCCGCCGTGGGGTGAACGGGGCGGCTGTCGCTGGGTTCCACGTTTGTGGTGGCCGGGAGGCGGTGGCGGGATCCTTGCTGCTCAGACATTCCTGCAGCAGGCCCAAGGCTTGTAAGAGTGTACCTAAGTCTTGAATGTCCTGGAGCATGTGTGTGGATTCTCCCTGGGTTATCACGAGGGTGCGGGGCATACGCCAGCGGTAACTTATGTTCCGTTGCTGTAGGAGTGAGGTAAGTGGCCTGAGAGACCTCCACCAGGCTTGGGTGCTATTCAATAGGTCCTGGTAAAAGGCCAGCAATGCCAGCAAATTGGTATTGGGGAGTTCCCCTAAGGGCCTGGAGGACCGCGGCTTTGTCGGTCCCAGACCGGAATTGGACCACCAGGTCTCTTGAGACTTCAGACGGTGCCTTAGCCGGCTTGGGGATGTGGAAGAGGCCGTCCAGCGTTACGGTTTTTGCTTGTCGCGGTGATAGCAGGGTGCTAATTGTCTCCTCAGTAAGTGTGGCAGTTCAGCTTCAGGTATGTCCTCTGTGATCCCTCTGATTTTAATATTGTTCCGTCGTCTGGTGTCGTCTTGCGCCGTAAAGCGGCAGTCATATATTTGATTTGGTTCTGTAGGTCTCTGACCTCTTGTTGCAGTGTGTTCATGCGCTGTGTGCCAGTTTGTGTGGCTTCTTCCAGGGCTCCGATGCGGCCCGTCAGGCCTTGCAAGCCTCCGCGGATCGTTGCTATGTCCGCCTGGAGAGTGGTTTTCAGGTCAGTCAGAAGCTCCCTGAGAACTGCAGTGGTGACCGAAGCTGTGTCTGGGTTTGTTGGACCTGTTTTCGGCCTCGGAATGGCCTTGTCCAAGGAGAGCTTGTCCGAGAAATCCGAGCATCCTCCTGTGAGGGTGGCTATCTTAGGCCCGTGTGCGCCCTGCGCCCGCCACCACATTTCCCTGATGTTCAGCCCCATGCTCGGTCTGTCTGACTTGCGCTTTTTAGAATTTCGACCTATGGTGTCTGGGCGCACTGGAGGCGTCTCCCAGGTCCCCTTAGTAGTGATAGTTTCGTCGGATAGTGGGTTTTCAATAGCTTAGAAGCCGGAGCTCCAGGGACATGCGACCGTTTGCTTCATTGGCTAAGCTCCGCCCCCCATGGTAGGTGTATTTTAACACTGAGAGACAGAATAACAACAACAAAAAAATCCAGAAAAATGCATGTCAAAAAATTTTATAAATTGATTTGCATGTCAATGAGTGAAATAAGTATTTGACCCCTTCAACTTAGTACTTGGTGGCAAAACCCATGTTGGCAATCACAGAGGTCAGATATTTCTTGTAGTTTGCACACATCACTGGAGGGATTTTATCCCACCCCTCTTTGCAGATCCTCTCCAAGTCATTAAGGTTTCGAGGCTGACGTTTGGCAACTCAAACAGATTTTCTATGGGATTAAGGCCTGGAGACTGGCTAGGCCACTCCAGGACCTTAATGTGCATCTTCTTGAGCTCTTTTTTTTGTTGCCTTGGCTGTGTGTTTTGGGTCATTGTAAAGCTTGAATACCTATCCACGACCCATTTTCAATGCCCTAAGTGAGGGAAGGAGGTTCTCAATCAAGATTTGACAGTACATCGCCCCGTCCATCGTCCCTTGGATGAGGTGCAGTTGTCCTGTCCCCTTAGCAGAAAAACACTCCCAAAGTGGTGTTCTTGGGGTCATGGGCAGCATTCCTCCTCCTCCAAACACGGTGAGTTAAGTTGATGCCAAATAACTCGATTTTGGTCTCATCTGACCACAACACGTTCACCCAGCTCTCATCTGAATCATTCAGGTGTTCATTGGCAAACTTCAGATGGCCTGTACATGTGCTTTCTTGAGCAGGGGGACCCTGAGGCAGCTGCAGGATTTTAGTCCTTCATGGGGTAGTGTGTTACCAATTGTTTTCTTGGTGACTATGGTCCCAGCTGCCTTGAGATCCTCCCGTGTAGCTCTGGGTTGATTCCTCACTGTTTTCATGATCATTGAAACTCCACGAGGTGAGATCTTGCAAGGAGCACCAGACCGAGGGAGACTAACAGTTATTTTGTGTTTCTTCCATTCGTGAATATTCGCACCAACTGTTGTCACCTTCTCACCAAGCTGCTTGGCGATGGCCTTGTAGCCCATTCCAACCTTGTGTAGGTCTACAATCTTGTCCCTGACATCATTGGACAGCTCATTGGTCTTGGCCATGGTGGAGAGTTTGGAATCTGATTGGTTGATTGCTTCTGTGGACTGGTGTCTTTTATACAGGTAACGAGCTGAGTTTAGTAGCCCTTCCTTTAAGAAAGTGCTCATAATCTCAGCTCATTTTCTGTATAAAAGACACCTGGGAGCCAGAAATCTTGCTGAATGATTGGGGATCAAATACTTATTTCACTCATTGACATGCGTTTTTCTGGATTTTATTTTGTCTTTCACTGTTAAAATACACCTACCATTAAAAATATAGACTGATCATTTCTTTGTCAGCGGACAAACGTTCAAATCAGTAGGGGATCAAATACTCTATTCCCTCACTGTAGGTATCTTAAAGGGTGACTAACTTCCCCTTCTTATCGTGCTTCAGTTATTATGTAATAAAAATGTAAAAAAAAAATGGTATGAAAAGATCTTCTATGCATACCAGGAATTATCCCAATAGATACAAAACTCATGATTATTCGCCTAATTTCTGACTCTAGACTCAGTATAGGTAGTGATCTAGTGAATGTGCAAGCAATATTATAAACATTACCTACTTTACAAATTCTGAGAAAAATAATTGAATAGTTCTTTCCATTTGATAGACTGTTTCGTCTATTTACTTTTGATTGCAATGCCTATTGTGTGCTGTTTGGAAGTCAGTGCTGCAGCATGTGAGACAATGAAGACTATTTTATTAATTTGTGAAGTCACATTGAGATAGAGATGAGAGCCATATAGTCACATTGATATTACTTTGTTAATCACTGAGTTTTGACATCTGGCCTTTTTTCTCAACAAAAAGTTATTTTGTAAGCCAAGCAACACCCACACTAATTCTTAAATAGAGCTGTTATCCTTGTTGTGCACCCAACCTGATTTTCTGTTGACCTGTGTCTGGGGGATGATTATTTGGCAAGACGTGCATTCATTGGTGTTCCTGATGGGGTGGCTGAGTATGCATATAACTCGTATAACTTGTCCAATCTTCTTCACCTGGTCAGGTACATAGCTGGGGTCACAAATTAACTTTTTACAGTGTGCAATCTGAAAGAAATCAGACAAGGTACTGACACTAGGGTATGGTGATTAGGTAGCTCCCAATGCTACATATGCCCACTGGGAAAATTCTATTATATGGTACTGTAAAAGAGAGAGGGATAATGTAAAGGAAAGCCATAACATAGGTAGGTCCATGGTGCTGGCAATTGCATTGTTCTATATCAGCGGTTCCCAAACTGTGTGTCGTGGTGTAAACTGTGCTCTCCCCTGCCGGCTCTGCAGGAGAGGACTCGGGGAGCTCTAACATTCAGCTCCGCCGGATTCTCCTCTCGCGAGCTCAGAGCTTTGCCGAGGTTACCATGGCAATGCTCCGAATCTCGCGAGAGTTAACTCTAGCAGCTCCTGAGGCTGCTAGAGTTCACTGTCACCACCAGGACCACCAGGGATGGCAGGAAATGTCCCACCTCCCAGACAAAGGTAAGCAGGGAGGGAAGACATTTTTATTTTTAATTAAAAAAATATATATATATATGTATATATATATTTATTAATTTGTTCTCCTACCCCCACAGACCCCACACCCGACAATAGCTTCCCAATACACACACACTGCCCCCCCATACACACACACACTGCCCCCATACACACACTACCCCATACACACACTACCCCCATACACACATTATCCCCCATACACACACACTACCCCCATACACACACATTATCCCACATACACACACTATCCCCATACACACACACTGCCCCCATACACACACACTTCCAGTGCAGCATTTGAGACAATGAAGACTATTTTATTAATTTGTGAAATCATATTGAGATAGAGATGAGAGCCATATAGTCACATTGATATTACTTTGTTAATCACTGAGTTTTGACATCTGGCCTTTTTTCTCTTACAGTCACTCAACTCAACTTGCCCCCCATACACACACTACCATCCATACACACACACACACTGCCCCCACACACTGCCCTATATATACATACACTGTCCCCCATACACACACTACCCCATACACACACACTGCCCCCATACATACACACCTACCCCACATACACACACCCACCATACACACAATTACCCCCATACACACACACTGCCCCATACACAGAATTACCCCCTATACACACACCCCACATACACACACACTGCCCCATACACACTGCCCCCCATACACACACTTACCGCCATTCACACACACTGGCCCCCATACACACACACTACACCCCATACACACTGCCCCTCCATACACACACACTACCCCCCATACACACTGCCCCTCCATACGCACACACTGTATCCCCCAACACACACACTGTACCCCTCACACAACCTGCCCCCCCACACACACTGTACCCCTCACACAACCTACTATCCTACACACACACACACACTGTACCCCTCATGCACAAACTGCCCCACATACACACACACTGCACCCCTCACACACACAAACTACATCCTTTACAAACACAATGCATCCCTGTACACACACACTGTATCCCTCACACACAAACATGCACACTGCACCCCTGTACACATACACACACTGCACCCCTCACACACAAACTACATCCTTCACAAACACAATGCATCCCTGTATACACACACTGTATCCCTCACACACAAACATGCACACTGCACCCCTGTACACACACACACACACAAACACACACACTGTACCCCTGTACACACAAACACACACTGCACCACTCACACACATGCACACTGCACCCCTCACACACACACATATTGCACACCTCACACACACACACACACACACACACAACCCAGACCCCAGGTAAGCTGTCAAACTGTTCTTAAACAGTTTGACTACTTACCTAGGGAGGGCACTACTGGCACTATAACCACTACAATGTAATGTAGTGGTTATTGTGCCTGGATTGTTTGTTTAAATAATCTACCAGTGCCACTCCCAAGATTAGGGGCCAAGTATATGCCGCAGCGCTGTACATATATACAACCTAGAAAATTGTTTTGACTTGGGGTGTCTTGGAAAAATATTTAAATATTAAGGGCGCCTTGAACCTAAAACGTTTGGGAACCACTGTTCTATGGATGGTACAATATTTGGGTTGCGCCACATACTGTACAAGAAAATAATAGAGTTACTAGTTGTGTATGCCATTTGTTTTTGAAAGACTATATGGTAACTTAACATAGAAATGAATAAACTAAAATTATAGTTTAATTAATCCACTGATGGTAAAAGAATAGAATTCACGGTTCACAGTTCTACAAAGCTCATTAATGGAACACTATAGTCACCAAAACAACTACAGCTAAATGTACTTGTTCTGGTGAGTATAGCCCCTGCAGTCTTTTTGCTGTAAACCAAGCATGTCAAACTAGTGGCCCACAAACAATGTCTTTGCAGCCTGGCTAGCAGCGGGTTTCACATTTTAAGGCAGAGTAGGCACCTGCTCTCCCCACATTGCAGGTGCCTACTCTGCTAAAATTTACCTGGCCGGGAGGAAAGATCGTTGGCGGCAGCAAGGGAGCTCAGTCTTCCTGCTCCTCACTGCTCCCTCGTGTGCGACCTCTTTAGTGATGCCGGAATATGATGTCATTCCAGCCGGGCATCACTAAACTGCGCGCCTGAGGAGAGAAGATCCCACTGGACACCAGGGAGAGGCCCCACAGAGGCACCCAAAGGTAGGGTGCAATAAATAAACTGATTTGTGAGTGTGTGCAAGAATGTGTAAATGTGTGTGTGTGTCTCTCAGTGTGTGTGTGTGTGTACGTGTATGTGTGTCTGTCTGTCAGTGAGTGTGTCTGTCTGTCAGTGAGTGTGTGTGTGTGTGTCTGTCAGTGAGTGTGTGTGTGTGTGTGTCTGTCAATGAGTGTGTGTGTCAGTGTGTGTGTGTGTGTGTCTGTCAGTGAGTGTGTGTGTCTGTCAGTGCATGTGTCTGTGTTCTGATGGTCGCGGCTGGATAGTGGAGGACCTGGAGGTGCACGGAGGCACCCAACGCCACGTCACATTCAGACGTGACGTCAACGTGCTCCACCTTCACAGGGTTTCAAGGAGTAGCGGGAGGATCCGCTTTGGCACGGGGTGCGGACAGCGCAACTGGGGTTATAACAGAGGCTGGACACCGGAGTCACATATTGGTAGCGGCAATGTGAGTGGAGTCTGCTTGTTGGCTAATATTGTTTTGTTTTTTTAAACAGGACCCGGGGTTTAGTAAAGGGGGGGTGCTGGAATTTAGTAGAAGGGGGGTGGGTCTGAGATTTAGTATAGAGGGGGAGACTGGAGTTTAGTAGAGGGGGGCTGGGTTTTAGTAGAGGAGGGTGCTGGGGTTTAGAAGAGGGGGGTGCAGTTTTTTTTTTTATACTGTACTTTTCAAAAGAAACCTACATTTATATGAAAATTTAAGGCTTTTGTTTTGCGGCCCACATAAACTTAAACCTTGTTTATTTGGCCCGTGCTAGCCTTTGAGTTTGACATGCTTGCTGTAAACATTGCCTTTTCAGAGAAAATTGCTCTCTAGGGGCACCTCCAGTGACAGTCACTCAGATGGTAACTAGAGGTGCTTCCTGTGTCAGCCGCCTGCAAGGGGAAACATTTCTCTCTCTGCATTTAATTGGACCTCAGACGGGGCACGCAAGAACCTTGCCCAGTGCTGGATTCCAGGAAAGTTTTAAACTATTATTTTGCGACTTTTATTTTTAATACAGTTGGTAACCTATTATATAGTGCCCAGTTTGGCACTATAAACAAAAAAAGAAATCCAAAAAACGGTTGGAGTAACCCTGTAACTGGTCAACCATATGCCAAGTTGGTGGAACTAGCAGCTGCATGGCAGGCCTTCCTTCGCTGATGTTTAATATGACAGGCACAGAGATAGGAGTTAGACAAATATGATGTACCTCTCCCTCAGACTTCACACCAACCACGTGTCCCTTTTCCATTATGATCTCATCCACAGGTTTATTGAGCATGTAGATCCCTCCATACAGAGCGCTCAGCCTACAAGGAAATAGGTAGCAAATATAACACGTGAAAAGAAATGGGTTTTCTATGATCACATTCATATTTAAACTCATGCCTAAATAAAAACCATTTTCTGTGCATCATATGAATAGCAATATTAAGTTTAGTATTAGAAGTTGTACTTTTTGAATCTAGTTCAGGTAAATTCACTGCTAAACTCAAAGGAATTTGATGCACATAAAAGCTATGAATTTTTTCACTTAACATGAAAATGTGGCCATTTTACCAAAAAATTACACACTTAGTCAGAATAACTAAACTAGCATAATTTCCCAACTCAGTTATACTTATGCTTTGGCTATTATGTTTTAAAATGTGCAATTACCTTGAAAATATGATGCAATTTTATTTTTGGTGAATAAACTACTATAGGTTATTACAACATTGTATATATCCCCCCCCACGTCCGTAAACAGGTGGGAGGGGGGCAGGCTAGTGACCTGCCAATCAAGAAGGGAGGTCCATTGAGGGTAGGATTTGCAGGGAGTACTCTTTCAGTGCTCTTTGAAGGGTTCTAGTGCCCTGAGTCTAGCTCAGTAGATGCGCAGGTGCTACACTTTTTGTGGACAGTTGCCTGATGTCCCCAAAAACAGTACACCAAGGACAGAACATGAAAACCGTGACTCTCCCATCAAAATTGGGATGGTTGGGAGGTCTACATGAGATATTTTACAAATGCCTTGCTTTGAAAATGTGCATATGATGTGCAAAAAAGATAGGCTTGCCAGTATTAGATTATTGCTTTCCTTACTCCTACTAAAATGCTTAACATATCATAGGGAAGACTAGGCAGTCTCAGATCCTTTATAAGAGATAACTAGAAAGTAGTCACAAGGTGAATATTGCAAAGGAGCAGGACATGTTTGTGGGTGTGTTCTACCTCCCCAGAAGATATATAGTATATCAATAGTAAGATATCCTGTTGTTATTATATGGGGTCCTTGACATATATTCTGGTTTTGAATAGCATTTCCACCCGAGGTATAATACCAAGGTTCCTTACCTTGCAAATCCCTGAGGTAGCTCTCCCAGTCCATACAGTGGGTATAGATAAGGGCTCTTACAGTACTTAGTCAAAGATTCATAGTACAGTTTGATCCGGTTAATTGTCTCCAAACACGGCAAATCCAAATAGCTGTGTAAAAAAAATAGACACATTTTAGGGAGCATCTTTAATACCCAGTGCATTGTTGGGAAAGGGTATTGCTAGGCTGTGGGTGTAAATGAGAAATGTTTTGTCTGAACATTATGCTCCAAAAAGATCTGATATCTCAGCTAAAAATATTGTTTAACCACTTACTGAAGTATCCAGCGATAACATACATGAAAAAAATATAAGCAGACTACATTTAGAGCTTTGCTTTGTTACTACTGTACTGTTTCTGGAGGTAGGATGGACGTTGATGTTATCTTATATAGTTATAGATCAGTCTTTCTTAAATCTGTTTTTGCTGTTAATCCAAAAGAAGACAAAAAACATTCTTGTTCCCACAATGGTAGTCAGATCTCTTCTTGAATTAAAAAGCTCTTATCCCTAGTAAAAAGTATATCCCTGAATATTGTGTTTTTCCAAGTATTCATCCAGTTGCTGTTTAAACATCTGTACAGACTCTGATAAAACCACCACTTCAGGCACAAAATTCCACATCCTTATTGTTCTTTCTGTAAAAACCCTTTACTATGCCTTAGACTAAATCTCCTTTCTTCCAGTCTAAATGTGTGACCTTGTGTCCAGAAACTTGCAGGGAGCACTCTTTCAGTGCTGTTTGAAAGGTTCTAGTGCCCTGAGTCTAGCTCAGTAGATGCGCAGGCACTACACTTTATTGGGACAGTTGCCTGATGTCCCCAATAACAGTACACCAAAGAACAAAGAGGGGGCGGTAGGACAGAACATGAAAATCATAATTCTCCCATCAAAATTGGGATGTTTGGGAGGTCTACATGAGATATTTTACAAATGCCTTGCTTTAAAAAGGCATTTGCCCTACTGTCCCCACTTTGTTCCTTGGTGTACTGTTTTTGGGGACATCAGGCAACTGTCCACAAAATAGATTTACAGACAATGGTTTGTTATGCCCCCAAAGATAGTTGTATAATACTATCATATCCCCTTTCATATCCCCTATGAGGCACTGTTTCTCTAAGCTAAACATTTGGCAACCTTTCTTCATAACTAAAATATTCCATGCTTCTCATTAATTTTAAGGTTCCAAAATAAATTAGCAGCATAGTCAAGGTGTGGTCCTATTTATTATAGAGTCAAAATGATATTTTCATACTGAGAATTAATGCCCCTGTTTATACATGAAAATATCTTACTGGCCTTAGCAATTGCTGATTGACATTGCATATTGTTGCCTAGTTTGTTATCTATAACAATTCCCAAATCCGTTTTGTGTATTGTTAACTCTAATTCACTACCATTTAGTGTGTAAGTGGCTTGTGCATTCTTTACCCCAAAGTGCATAGCTTTGCAATTATCTACATTAAATTTTAACTGTCGTTTGAGTGTACAATCCCCCAATTTATCCAAATCAGTAAAGTAATGTTCTGCTCACATTGCTCAAAGGGTTAATGAGACTCTACTCCAATCTAGTTAAAAATTCTAAAGGCTACTCTTGAAAAGCAATCTTCACTCACTCATCAGTTCTGTACAAGGCGAGAGCATGACCAGTGAAGGCCATAATGTCTGGACCCAGGTCAAACCTTCTATAAAGCTCCCGCATGGTCATCTTTTTGGGGTCAATATCTTGGTGCGTCTTTGCGTCATGCTCATTGAAGTTTACTACGAAAACTAAGAATTTTCTAAATCGTCTCTTTTCAAATATACCCAGTAGGTCTGCAGCCAAGAAAAAAAAAATCTGAATGTAAATTTCTCCATCACTCTTAACAAGGTTATCAAGACAATAGAATCAGTATACATTTTGAATCATATTTAACTATTGATATATTCTTATCATATTTTAACTGGAAAAGAATCTAATTGAATTAATAATTAAAGGGATCTTTTTCATTTGACTTGGTACATTGAGTTCGCAAATTATTTGCTGGATATATGAACTAACCTGAAGCCAGAGCTTCATCCTCTGTGCATGGGACTTTGTGAATCCTCCCTGATTTATAGACATAACTCCCATCAACCACTTTGAAGTCAATATATCGAGTCACTTCCGTGTAGAGAAGCAATTTCACCAGCTGTCCTAACAGGATGAGAAAAAGGAAGAGAAACATTAAGGGAGATGCACTTTATTAGTGCTAGTAAATCTCAAAGTTCTTGGAAAACTAAATCTCCTAGGGTACTTACATGAACTCTAGATAAAATGTTGTACTCTTACTATCCTTTTTCCTACTCTTGCTTTAGACTTTTACACTTATATATCCCCACTTTAGATATATTTTATATATTTTTACCATGATAAGAACACATATTTAATTGCTGTGTATTGTATTCATTACTGATGATCTCTGGCCAAGCTAATGCTTTTCATAGAGATACATTTGGGCCCTATCACACATGTACAGCAACTGCCATGCTCCATCAATAGGATGCTTCTAATAGAGGAGAATTGAATCCAGGAAAATGAACTAAACTAATATCGTTTGATACTGATTGTGAAGACTTTCAATAATTGGGATAGCTGTTGATTGAGAGCTACTAAAGGAAGTCTAAATTACAAATGCAAACATTGCAAATGGCAATCTTTACATATTTCAGAAGGCAGGTAGGTTGGTCTTTTTGCAGCAAAAACAGTACATTAAGATAGCGTTTTTGGAGCGTCCCCTTAAAACTAAATGAATATGGTCAGTACAACTTTACTTTACTTCTTATAAGAGAACTGCACTGAGGGCATTTTTTTTTTTTTTTACAAACAATCTTTGTCTAGATGTTTCCTTACCATTGGCCATCAGGAACTTTGGAATGAGATCCACATTCCATTCTCTCCCTCTACCCATTGGTTCTGGAGGTCCGATGACATTAAATCTTCGATACAGCTGGAGAGACAGAGTATAATACAATTAGAGACTTCCCAGGAGAAAGATCTTGAAACCTCTTAGCAGCATCTTTATTCTTATAAAATGTAATGTTACTGACATGTAAACACAATTGTTAAAATAGTTTCCAGTTGGATGCAAGCTTTTATTTAAAACTGTTCAATAGCTCCTGATACACATGGCATCAACATTGAAAGGGTCGAAGGGCATCTTTCACCTTTTCAAATGCTCAACTAAAATGAGAAAGTATAGACACATTGGCTGGGTATTCATAGTAATTATTTGCTACTAACATAATTTACCTACTTGGAATGAATGAGTATGCCTTCGACATCTTTCATGAAAAGGCACAAGGAGTCAAAGTTGTGCAGAGACAAAACAGTTGTAATGTCTCAGTTGTAACGTTCTCTCATACCAAATACAAACACCATATAAAAGTGTTTTTTGTAATGGTTATGCTTAGAGGACAAAAAGACACAAAAGTGGCTTTAAATATTATTAAAGGGACACTATAGTCACCCAAACAACTTTTGCGTAATGAAGCAGTTTTGGTGATCATGCCCCTGGAGTGTCTCTGCTCAATTCTCTGCCATTTAGGATTAAATCACTTTGTTTATTCAGCCCTAATCAAAGCTCGCTGTATCTGACTTACACAGCCTACCGAAACACTTCCTGTAACTTGAGATCTAATGTTTAAACGTCCTTTATTGCACAGTCTGTTTAATGTAGATTTTCATATCTCATGCACTGTTAATAACCTGCTAGACATTGCAGGAGTTTCCTGTGTGTGATTAAAATTCAATTTACAGAGCAGGAGTTGATAACTTCTAAAGCAAGTTAACATCTGACTGAAAATTAAACCCTTTTTTTAATGCAGGCTGTCTAAGTCAGAGCCAAGGGAGGTATGGCTAGGACTCTATAAACAGAAGCAATGGTGATTTAACTTATAAATGGCAGAGACTTAAGTAGCGAAACTTCAGGGGTATGATCTACACACCAAAACTGCTTCATTAGGCTAAAATAGTTTTGGTGACTATAGTGTCCCTTTAACTCCCATTATTCCTGAAGGTAAGCTGCTCTTTTATAGACAGGAATGTTTAGTAAAGTGTAGCCATCAATGCAACCCTGGCTAAACCAGCAACTATTTATTGTGAACTGGAAAAGGAATTTGACATTTTAAGCAAATTAGCTGAGATATAAATATGTCTTAAAGGGACACTATAAGCACACAGACCACTTCAGCTTGTTGAAATGGTCTGAGTGCAGTGTCCCAGCACACTTAACCCTGCAAAGCTAATTATTGCATATTTCTTTATAAACTGCAATAATTAGCTTTGTGGGGTAATTCCATCTCTAGTGGCTGTCTACTAGACAGCCACTGGAAGGACTTCTGGGCCGTTAAGCAACTTTTGGTCGCCTAACTGATGCTGGACATCCTTACGCTATGCATGAGGACATCCAGTGTCACCTGAATGCCCATAAGAAAGCACTGTATAATGCTTTCCTATGGGGAAATCCTAATGCGAGCCCGGCCATTGGCACGCATGCACATTAGATCTATCGTCGGCAGGGGAGGAGCAGAGGAGGACTCGAGCCAGTGCCAACGGACATCGACGCTGGCCCTAGGTAAGTGAAAGAATGTTTTTTTAACCACTTCTGCATGGCAGGGGAGGGTGAGGGGGAGGGGTGGGGGTAGAGGGAAGCAACTTTGTTTTCCTGGCCCTATAGCTTCCCTTTAATTTGATTTAACTCCTAAGTGGCAGATAATTGAGCAGTGAAACTCCAAGGGCATGATCAATACACCAAACCTGCTTCATTAAGATAAAGTTAATTTGGTGCCTGTAGTGTCCCTTTAAACTCTATATGTGCAGCAGCTCAAAGCAAAATGGCACCATGACCACTATAAATTCCTAAAGTAGTATTGGTGCTTGGATTAAGGAGTAAACCTCTACATAGACAGCAACAAGGTGCTCCACCAGAAATTTCTTATCACAGGCCAATAAGTGCTACCTTCTGTTTATGCCACCAGTAACGTTTACATTAAATGTCTGGCACATTTACGTTATATGGAATCTATCCCTGTCATAGTTTTCACCAATTAAAGATAGTACTATTAAAAACTGCACCATATTGTAAATAAGCCTCACACCTTTTCGAGTGGCGTGATTGATGCACTTTCCCCTCCATAGTAATCATTCCGATCAATGTGCAAAACCTTTTTCCCATTCACAGACATTATTCCAGATAATACACATTCCTATGGATGAAAAAAAAAAAAAGGCAAAAAAAATGCATTACTCAAACATCTGCTGAAATTAAAAATGCATTATTTCCTAAAGACTGTAATTATACAGAACATTACAAAGTTAGGATATTAACATAAAACATAAAATTCGATAATGATAAAGGTTGCAAAGCAGAAGCCATATTGGTCAGGTCAGCACACAACCACACTGAATTTAAAGAGCAACTATCAATTCGATTTTTTAATATGTTGTATTAATCCCTCTATTTAACAAATGTGTCTTTGAGGGGTGTGGAAAAACAGAACATTTAGCAATCAACACCTCTTTATCTTGCAAATAGATGCCTCCATGATAGCTGCCTGTCAGTCATTGAAATAACGCCTGTCCTCAGCATCTCAGTCAGCATAGAGAAAACAAACAGAGAAGAGGTGAAATTATAAAATGTTTCTATTTACCCTATTAATTTGCAATGTACAAGCTGGCTTTGCCTTGTCTGAACTGGATAATGTAATTTGCTTAAAGGACCACTATAGGCACCCAGACCACTTCAGCTTAATGAAGTGTTCTGGGTGCCAGGTCCAGCTAGGTTTAACCCTTTTTTTAATAAACATAGCAGTTTCAGAGAAACTGCTATGTGTATGTTAGGGTTAATCCAGTCTCCAGTGGCTGTCTCTTGATAAGATGTCAATATGCCCCAGTTGAAGATGTGCAAGTTAATTTCCCCCCTTTTATAATATTGTAAAGCTCTGAAGAATACGTTGGCATTATATAAATGTCAAAAATAATATATTGCTCTATCCTAAAGGGCCACACTCTACTCTTATCTTGTTCTGTTACTTTCTCACCTTGTTGTTTTGTTGCTATTTCCCTTGATACCCTTCCTATTGTGTTTTTATACCCTACCTCCTCTAGATTGTAAGCTTGTTGAGCAGAGTCCTCATCAACCTATTGTTCCTGTAACATTTTGAAATTGTCTCACTTATTGTTAAATTTCCTTTATATATATATATATATATAATACTGTAAAGCACTGCAAAGACATTGGCACTATAAAATGTCAAAAATAATAATAATAAAATAATAATAATAATAATCTTCACTAACTATGAACCAGAGTTAACTTAGGCCAACTGTAGGAGAAAGCCCCAAATAAACAATGCCAAGGCTGCCAAATGTTTAATTTGCCCAATGACGCTGTTGAGTTATATCACCTGGATAATATATGGACCATTTGGTGGCAGAGATAAGTGGGCCAAATTAACTTAAGCTTCATCAAAGAAACATCACACATTGGGTGGGTTTTCCCTAATTGCACTCCAAGTATGCTTCTTTCTGTACTACACATAATATGATACACGACAAGTAGAACCATTCGCCTTGTTCAAAGCATTATACATGCAGTTATTTACAGAAGAATTGTTCTCTATATCCCATCAATACAAAATTATCAGAGTTCCCATTGACAATAATGTATACTTTAGGATTTACTAAAAGAAATTACACTTTGTGGTTTAGTGACAGCTCACTGTTAAGGTCACCATTTCAGCCTGGAGCATCCCTAAATATTATGTCTGTCAAAGTGATTTTTATTAAGGAATGATCTGAGTTGTTTAAGTCCTTAACAACAAAGTTTTGTTTAAGGCACGTTATATCCTGACATGTCATCTGCAATGAAAGAGTTATGGTTGCTTATTACATACAATTCAGGCTGCAGTGCTGTAGCCAGGAGGTTCCTCTCTGAATTTAACTGAAGTGTTGCATTTTTTATTTTTGCCACTGATTAAAGCTGTAACCAGTCATCAGTGAAGCATTTGTATTTTTTTTTTTTTTTTGGTTATGCAGCCATTGGTTATAGGAGAGCTTTATAAAACTAACCTGTGGTTGTTATTGTTGGAATAAGACTAATCCTACACTGACGTATTCGATAACAGTATAAGCCATTAATGAGAGATGGTATCACAAATCCTCCTAGCAGCTTAAAAATGCCAGCAGACCAAGCGATCTCGGAAGGAATCCACAAGAGTGCAGCCACGGAGATGAGGTGACGTGACAGCATGCCCATCGTCAACTGAGCCACTTTTACCTGTAGAGCAGGGGTGGACAGTCTGTGCCTCCCCCCACCCACAAGCTGTTGGTAGCCTACACACCTGCATTTCTTGTTATGCTGCTATCAAATATATAAAATCCCTTTTAGAGTATATCAAGTCAATCCCACACCCACTCTTATCATTACATGACACATATTATGTTACCATTAGTTTATCATTTCAATTACAAGTAGATTTGTCAGTCAGCCAGTTTTTACTCATGTCCGCTTGACCATTCAAAATTGAAGTGGATCTGCTGAATAAGCAATAATATGTTGCTACACCATGGTAAAGGGCTGCATGTGGGATGAACAAGATAAAAATGCCACCTGGCACTCTAGTCAGATGGCTTTGTTTTTCCGTAAAAGCATTTGGACACAAGTTCAGCCAATAGGGTGTTTCCTGACGACGATGGAAAGGGGATAATTTACTAACATAGACCTGATTTCAGCTAGAAATAAACACACAAAAAATGGCACACAAATAGGGCCGATATTAGCCACCAGTGGGCATAACATAGCTAGAAGATCAGTTTGAGAAGTCCATTTAATTTGATCAATAATAGTGCAATATCATACCTACTGCATAACAAGCACTGTAGGTCCCCAACTTGAAATGACTTTAAGGGACCCATACTTCTCAGTATAAGAGAGTTCTCACTAAAAGTTAACTTTTATTGGCACCTCTTTGGTGTCTGTCCTGTTACTACCTCCCCTTAGAGGCGTAGCGTGGAGGTTGCAGGGGGGGCCGGCCGCACCGGGCGCAACATCTGGGGGGGGCGCGCTCGCACTCGCAGCTCTCTGCCCCTGCCTGGCTCACTCATTCTCTCTGCAGTGCTGGCTGTGCGAATCCGATCCGAGCCGCCGGGTCGCCGCCCACTGTGGAGGGGGAGGAGGGGGTGCCAGGCAGGGGCGGGCTGGGTCGGGGGGCAGGGAGGCAATTGCCCCCCAGGCCGCCCTAAAGCATGTTAAAAACGTCCACTGGGCCGTCTTTAACGCAGGGCTAAAGGCAGCTGCCTCTCTTGAGCCCCGCCGGCCGTGGCTACAGAATTCCGATCCTTCACTATGCGGCCGGCATTGCCGCATAGTGTAGGACGGACTGGATTGGTCGGTGGCTCCTCCTTCTGACCTCCCTTGCGCAAGCGCGTACCGTGACGTCATGAAATGAGTCACGGGCGGTAACAGCGCATGCGCATAGCCTCCACCTGAAGGACGCCGGGAACACCCTCACACCCTTTCTCCTAGTCGAGCATCCTGAGAGAGCAGCTGCCGGTATCTTCAGAGAAAGTGTTCAGAGAAGTGTAAGTATTTTTTTTTTTTTTTTTATATTGACTGTAAAGTAAATTATAGTTTTAGGAGGAGTGGGCAGTAAATGCAATGTGTTAATTGTGTATATAACAAAAAATCTGCAAAATAAGTTGTAATGGTGGAAATGTATTTTTAGGGGGAGGTGGTGGGGGCAGTAAATCAATATGTTCATGTATTGTAATAAGGAGATTTTTTTTAAGGGGAGGGGGTGGAGTTGGGGGCCAGTAAATGCAATCTGTATAGATAAAAAAAAGAATCTGCAAAATAATTAAAAAAAGATTTTAATGAGGGAGTTTTTTTGGGTGGGGCGCAGTACAATAAATGCAATGTGTACATATATATATAAAAAAAATATGCAAAATAAGTTGTAATGATGGAATGTATTTTTAGGGGGAGGGGTGGGGGCAGTAAATCAATATGTTCATGTATTGTAATAAGGAGATTTTTTTTAGGGGGAGGGGTTGGGGGGCAGTAAAATGCAATGTGTATAGATATAAAAAAAAAATCCACGGGTTAGGGGGCGCAAATTACTTGCCTTGCCCCGGGTGCTGACAACCCACGCTACGCCACTGCCTCCCCATCCTCGTAACCTAAACCATGTACATACTGCTCCTTTTTCATTTATGTAGTTTAGTACTTTCTATATTTAACTACATTCATCTTCATTCATTTGCACAACCACTTCATTCTGTCTGCAACAATCTTTAGGCAAAGGCTTGTACAAGGGTACTTGTTATAATATAATTTGCAAAACTAAACACTTAAAAATAATGGGGTGCAATGGTTAATAACAGTATCAATTATTTTGTGTCTCTAGGAGGAATAAAATAATATTGTGGCTTATTCAATAAACTGGGTTTTCTAGAAAGATACAAGGGAATGTTGAGATAAAACTTTTAGACATTTTTTCTATACTTTAAATAATAACAGTATCCCAGTGAGACACACAAAAAATAATAGATACTCAAACACCTTAGTTTTCCCTTTACCCTCACAACAAACTTAAAAATACGTACAGTACAGCTATTCAAATAAGAAGAAACTCCACCTTATACTGTATGTATTTTTCTATACTTGGCTTTTTTTGGAAAAAAATATCCTTTTCAATTCTTCGCAATTCTTATTTTAGTGAATAAGCCCCTGTGAGTGAATGAAAGATTTATCTTTAAGTCTGAACAGCATTAAGTGGTACAGTGCATTCTATTCTAATAATAATGATACCTCATTCGTACCACTTACCTTGAGTCCCGTCCCTAGGACGATTACATCATACTCTTCCTCCATAATGGAGAAATGCTTGTGTTATCTTCATCCGTCGGTTCCTGTGGTTTACTCCTCAGACATGGCACTACTGTACTAAGCTGATCTGCGACACACAGTTAAGCTACCAGCTTTCAGCATGTCACTAGCCCCTGTGACCCAAAGCCTGGCCACCTGCCGGTAACTGTAATCCATCCCTGTGATGCATTGGATGGGTGGGAGTCAGAGAAATGAGAAAATAGTAACGAATAAGGAGATTGGAATGCTTTATTTGCAGTAGTTTGATTGTATTATATACATATATATATTTATTTTATTCCCCCTGTTTCTACTTTCTAGTTTATCCAGCACAAATCGTCCTTGTCAATTATCACAGATCTTTATAATAGACGTGTGCACAAATCCCTTTTATCTAGAAGCCAGGGTAACTTTCCTGGTAATTGTTAGTGAAGGTAAGCATCTGTTTAGTTAGCCTCCTTAAAGGAGTAAGCCTTTTTGTTTCTGTACTTTTTTTTTGTTGTTGCTGTAAACCAGATGCGCCCAAAAGGTAGATCCCCAGATGTTTTAAAACTACAACTTCCATGATGTTTTGTCATTCGAAAAGCATTCTAAAGGTATGCAAAGCATCAAGGGGGTTGTGGTTCTACAACTTCTGGGGACCTACCTTTTGGGCACCCCTGCTGTAAACATTTTGATTTGCAAGGGTAGTGTAAATTAAAGGACCACTATATAGTCCTTAGGTGTGTCCCCCCCTTAGGGCCCGCCTCCCGCTGGGCTGAAGGGGTTAAAACCCCTTCAGCCACTTACCTTAATCCAGCGCCAGGCTCCCTCGGTGCTGGTGACCTTTCCTCCCCCTACAACGTCAGCTCCCAGAACCGAGCGCGTATTCAAACCGCCCATAGGAAAGCATTACCCAATGCTTTCCTATGAACGTTCTGTGTGCTCAATGTGATTCGCATTGAGCATCGCGGAAGCGCCTCTAGTGGCTGTCAGGAAGACAGCCACTTGAGGCTGGATAAACCCTGCAATGTAAACATAGTAGTTTCTCTGAAACTGCTATGTTTACAGCTGCAGGGTTAAAACCTGGGGGACCTGGTACCCAGACCACTTAATTGAGCTGAAGTGGTCTGGGTGACTATAGTGGTCCTTTAATATTAGAGAGAGACTTTTTGACAATTAAACTGCACTTGAAAGCTACAATTTCCTGTCTGTCCTGACTGTATTTGCAGTGGCCTTGCTACAAAATAAATAATATATATGTATCAGTGTGATGAGTGCATTAATAAACATTACCTTGCAAATATATATTCCGATCCAGAGACACCAGGGATTTGTCCTCAGGCAACACAGCGCAAGTGTATCATTAGGCAGGCTTGCTCTGTGCACAAACACTAGGACACTGCACAAAGCACTTCACCAGCATTCTCTGCAGGTTCTTGCAGGTTGGGGATCCAGCCAGATAGAAAGACCCTTTCTGGAAACCAGCCCACCTGCCTCGATCTTGTACCATCCAGTGGGAATATGCAGATCCCTGACCCATTTATTCCTCCATCTTCCACCATCCCAAAAGTCTGTACTGCAGAATAGTCCTAACACTCAGGCATGTGTCCACAAACACTCTACGATCTATCTTATCAACAAAATACACAGGAATATAATGACATTGCACACCCAATAACAGTCACATGCATTTACACTAGTTATGCACACAGAAACACTTAATTTCACTGAAGTTAGAAACATTGTCTCTCCCCCTCCTACATGTAATGTATTTCTGACATTAATAGTTATTTTCTTAAACATGCTAATATACAGCCATGAATTTAGGGACCCTTACAGATAAATGTTACTATAAAGGTACAATCGCCTCATTAGATGTGTTAACATAATGCAGAGTGAGCTCACGTTATGTAAATATTGCATTATAAATTCCACATACAATTATTGGAAAGACTTGCTACCTGTCTAGCACAGCGTAAATTGCATGCTTGCCGCTCCTTCCTCTCCTGTCCCACATTTAAATATCCACATTTTGGATGCTAAAATTGCCTTGTCCTGTATTCAAACCTCCCCAATTTTGGTAGATATGCACTCAGAAAATCTTAAAATGCCTGTGAGAGTTTAACTGTTTGTCATAAATGCCTATAATAACTTTTAACATTAATCATTAACTTTGTTTTGAGGATAGGACAAAGGCCAGGCCTGTCTCTCCAATTCTACCAGCAGATGCTGACCAAGGAGAAATAAACAGCAATTTCTTATCAAACAAAAAATGTGGAAAGCCAGTCTCCAGAGTTCATCCTTATCTGAAGGCTCAGTATGGGGAGATAAAAAAATAAGAAAAATAGGGCAGGTTTTCAAAACAGTTAAGACTGCAGACTGATTCCATGCTGAGTGGTTGACATTTGGAGAAGTACTAAGCAGCATAACGAGTACTCTGCAGCTTTATCAATATCTGGAATTACACAGCAAGGAAACCCAAAGGATTATGTATTAAACAACAAATGTAAATTTAGTCAACTGAATGGCAACATTGTGTCTAAAATGGCCAAGCTGTGATGTGAGGTTTGGCTCAGAGGCCCAGCAATTCTGGAGAGTCTCCAGCATATTTTTGCATGTATGTCTGTGGCCAACCGTATTAAAATTGTTTAGGAATTAGTAAAGTTTGTAAAGATAGCTTTGCTTAAAGCACTACTCCATGTACCATAACCAATATTCTCTCAAATTTAGGAGTTAAATCACTTTTGTTTATGCAGCCCTAGCCACACTTCCCCTGGCTGTGACTGACACAGCCTACATGGAAAAATGGTTTTATTTTCAATCAGATGTTAGAAGTTTTTATCTCCTGCTCTGTACAGTATATATCGAACTTTAATCACATACAGCAGGCTCTGGCAGGCTGTAGCAGGTTATTAACAGAGCAGGATATAAGAAATTCTAAATTAAACAGAATGTACAATAAAGTAAGTTTAAAAATTAGATCTTTCTTTACAGGAAGTGTTTAGGAAGGCTGTACAAGTCACATGCAGGGAAATGTAGCTAGGGCTGTATAAACAAAGTGATTTAACTCCTAAATGACAAAGGATTGAGTAGTGAGAATGCAAGGGAATGATCTACACTAAAACTGCTTCATTACCTACATGCCTATAACGTCCCTTTAATTGTGTGGGAATCTGCATGCGTGTTTGCTGTCTTAGGGAAAGATAAATCAACCCAAGCTGTGATTGCAGAGTATGCAATTCAGTTGTCAAAAATATAGTAATATAGACAGTTTTGAGGACCATGTCCCAGGTATTTTCTTTGGTGTTTACTTCTGCGGACAGGGAAAATTGTACCCTAATTGTTAAAAGAAAATTGTGCCCCAATTGTTTAGTGGTGTTTTGGATCTGCAGTAGGCAAGAATTCCAGTGCATTTCAACCATCTAGCATCCTTGTCAGCCTACAGCTCATGTGTATAGGAATAAATCACATTGTGTCACTGGCATGTCCCCAACTAACCCCCTCTGATCTCATATTTGCAAAGGTTGGCAAACAGGTGCTCAGCAGATAGTGTTTAGTTTAGTTTATAGATGTATACAATGGGCTCTGTTTATCTCAACTATTGTTGACTAAATTTTCATTTTCAAATTCACTTCAATAGCGTCCTTTGCAAATAAACCTCTTTATCAATCAAAGAGAAAAATAAATATACAAATGCATTGTCTTTCTATCCCCTTAAGGACACAGCTTCAGAAGCTTGTCTTACGCTTAATGACACAAGCAATTTTTGCATTTTCTTGCTGTATGCGTTCAACTGCAATTTGCATCTCTCTCGTTTATTGCACCGACACATATTATATACTATTTTTTAAAGGACATAAAGGGCTTTAATTTGATGTAACATATATATATATAAATGCTTATTTATTATTTAAAAAATACAGAAAAATGCAAAAAAAAGAAAAATTTTGTGTTTTTTGTACAGTTTTTGCAATAATAATGTGTGCCTAATTAGTGCAGGTTAAAGAAAGTAATTAAAAATAAATTTATTTAGTTGTTCTGATTTACAAAATATATAATGTGTCTGGGATTTAAAGTTTTTTTTTGGTAGTTACAGGTCATAAAGCACAAGGAGTAAAATAAACTTTTAATGTAGAGCGATTTTAGAATTTTGTATGTTTGTCTTGTAAGCTTAATAGCCATAAAAGAAAACAAAATTGCCACACAAAAGTATATATTTATATAAAGTAGACATCACAGGCTATTGTCCTAAGGTTTTTTGACACTTTCTAAGTAGCCATTTCACCGCCAATCTCTGCTAAATATTGGAGTAAAATTTAGTTTTTTGGAGTTTTTGGCACACAAACTTATAACAAAGAACTTCCCATGTATATTTTGTAAAGTTGGTGTGTGCTATTCCTGTACAAAGTTTTATTTTGTGTTCAGTTACTTCTGCTGAGTACAACGATATTGTATGTCTTTGGCACTATTTCGTGAAGCTACAGTGCCATATAGGAGACCTGTCCGTTTCAACATTTACAGTAGAATTTTGAGAGGCGGATTTAATGGGCCTATGCTTCAATTTGGGGTATTATAGCAGTTTGACTGTTCAAAAAAACCCACAAAGGCCTACCATTTATAAAAGTAGACACTCCAGGGTATCTCATATGGTGCATATTGTGCCTTAACATGCCCCCATTTTTTCACCAATATATGCCAAAGTATGTGGTAAAAAATAATTTTGGGCATTTTTTACATACGGATTACATTTTTGCTGGGCATTTTGTACATTTCATATGTGCCACTAAGTTCAAACCCCCCAAATTATGCTCAGCTAAGTCTTCTGAGTAAAACAATATGCCCAATGTATGACCTAGACACTATTTTGTGAAGTTACACTGCTATAAAAGAGACGTAACAAGTTAAGGTTTTTAAGTGTGAATTTTCATGGAGGGTTTTGATGCGTCCGTGCCCACTTTGGAGCACTTGAGCAGGCTACATATTACAACTACACCATAAAGGCATACCATTTCTTAAAGAACACATCCCAGGGTATTTCAAAAGGCATATTTTGAACCTTAGCGTGGGATAATTTTTCCGCTAGCTTGTACCAAGTGTAATGGTAATAAGCGTTTTTTTGCCTTTTTGACACACAAAGTAAATTTGCGCAGTACATTTTGCAAATCTTATGTGTGCTACGACTGTATAATACTTCATATGTTGCTCAGCTATGTCGGCTGAGTACATCAATACCCCCGTATGTACCTTTGCCAGGTATATGTGGACATCGGAGGGGCACATTTGGGACACAGCCATTCCAGTTCATTTCAAACTTTAAATTTTTACACTGTTCCCATGTCCCATTTTAGAGTATTTTACCAGGCTATATAATCCAAATACCCCATAAAGCCATACCATTTCTTAAAGAAGACATCCCGGGGTAATTCAAAAGGCATATTTTGAACCTTAGCGTGGGATAATTTTTCCGCTAGCTTGTACCAAGTGTAGTGGTAATAAGCATTTTTTCTGCCTTTTTGACACACAAAGTGAGTTTGCGCAGTATATTTTGCAAACCTTATGTGTACTACGACTGTATACTACTTCATATGTTGCTCAGCTATGTCGGCTGAGTACATCAATACCCCCGTATGTACCTTTGCCAGGTTTATGTGGACATTGAAGGGGCACATTTGAGACACAGCCATTCCATTTTTTTTAAACTTTGAATTTTTACGCTGTGTCCATGTCCCATTTTAGAGTATTTTAAAAGGCTATATAATCCAATTACACCATAAAGGCATACCATTTCTTAAAGAAGACATCCCGGGGTAATTCAAAAGGCCTATTTTGAACCTTAGCGTGGGATAATTTTTCCGCTAGCTTGTACCAAGTGTAGTGGTAATAAGCATTTTTTCTGCCTTTTTGACACACAAAGTGAGTTTGCGCAGTATATTTTGCAAACCTTATGTGTACTACGACTGTATACTACTTCATATGTTGTTCAGCTATGTCGCTGAGTACAGCAATACCCCCGTATGTACCTTTGCCAGGTATATGTGGACATTGAAGGGGCACATT